AAATGAACTACGCATTTTTCCATGCGTGGGTCCCACGGGAGAGAGTTTTTCTTTGGTCAGCTTGCTTTCCGTTGTTGCTCAGCGAAAATAGCCTCCCCTATTGCTAGCCTATGCTTTGACAAAGAGAGGTGGGCGGGCCGCAGGATTTGACAATGCCCAGCCTCTTTACTTGATTGCTGGCCGCCCATGTGAGGTGAACCAACAAAAAAAACATGCGAGCCTTTCTTTTCTTGATAGCTTTAAGAGCCAAGTTTCTGATAGAGTGTCTGAGCGACTTGAATAATAATCTTTCTTTAGCTCACACAGAATTATTTGCTAAAACCGATTCAGTTTCTGGCCACGTCAGCATCGTAGCCAAAAACTAGATCGGTTTAAAAAAAATTAAACTTCTAATTAGTCGGGGTTGACAACCCCGACTAATTAGAAGCTTTTCCATTACGAGCGGATTGTGTGCAGGCAAACCCCAAGCAAAAATGATCGGAGTTGGGAACCCCGACCAAAATGGTCGGGGTTGCCAACCAGTTCATTTAGCAGCCATGTAGATTACTAACCCCGGTCATCACCATGAACTCCCAACAACACTGAAGGGCCCCACCACTACAGTCGGTTATCATTGGCCTAAGCCCTGAGGAGATCGCCTCCGCTGCTGACAGCGCCTTCCTCAGGTACTCCTCCTCCTCATCGTTGCAGCCAATGTCGACGAGAAGAGGCGGCGGCGTGGCCATCGTGTTGTTTATAAACGACCTCAGGATCCTCGACAACGAGGCTCTGGAGAGAGCCTGGTCTTGCTCCTCTGCACTGCTCCCGGTCTGCTGCGTCGATCCCCCACTGCTTCTTCGGCACCACTCATTACTTCGGCTTTCGCGAGACCAGTGGTACTAGCTAACTACCACTTTAAGCTCTTTTTTTGTGCAGAAAACACCCCCTCCCTCCAAAAAAAAACATGCGAGCCTTTCTTTTCTTGATAGCTTTAAGAGCCAAGTTTCTGATAGAGTGCCTGAGCGACTTGAATAATAATCTTTCTTTAGCTCACACAGAATTACAAAAGGAGAAGCCAAATGAATAGGGTTGGGAACCTCGACCAAATGGTCAGGGTTCCCAACCCCGATCACTTTGTTCGGGGGTTTGGCTGAGCTAAATCTGCTCGTACTGGAAAAGCTTCTAATTAGTCGGGGTTGCCAACCCCGACTAATTAGAAGTTCGATTTTTTTTAAACCGACCCAGTTTCTGGCCACGATGCTGACATGACCAGAAACTGAGTCGATTTTACTAAATAAAAGTTGATTGGGATGGTTTTAGAATTAAATTTTGGATGAGTCTATTTTGAAAATTTCTTTATTATTTAAATATATAATTAATAGGATATAATTATATAATAAAAATATTTGTATTAGTATCTGAAATATTTTTTGAATATATGTTGATCATGCAGTGGTGATTATTTCAATCCTTCTCTGTGCTATGATTATTTAAATGTATAATTAATAGGATATAATTATGAATATAATTATGTAATAAAATATTTGTATTAGTATCTAAAATATATTTTGAATATACGTTGATCATACAGTGGTGATTATTTCAATCCATACATAAATAAATTCCAGACTAATTTTGACGATCAAGAGACCCAATCTTAATCTTTAGCCTTGCAAATGTAGCAATTAAACATATTAATAAACTTTCTTGTTATCGTATGAGATATATTTTTTCATACTATTTCTTTTTTTATATCAATTTTTGTATCCACATGTATATACATATCTGATTTCAGCAGATAAGAATATGAATTTTTATTGCCGAGGCATATTCGTATCTGTATCCATGATTTGCAGCTATAAATGGATATGATAAGTGTCATATTGGAACACCATTCAGACCATTTTGCACCCTTAATGCTATCCCAATATGTAGATATTATATTTACAATCTAAAATTATAATTCTCAAATTTAAAATAATAGGAAACAATGTCTTTGGATCCATGTAACTTCGACAACGTTGAAAAGGATAAAAAGCTATTCCAATTTTATGAAATTTCTAGTTGATGTTGACAACATAAGGTGCATGATTAAAGTATGGTGTAGTCATCTAAGATCTCCAATTTTTTATTTAGAAAATTAAACTTAAAGTTGAGGTATAGTATTTCAAATCCGGGATATTATCCAGCTCAATTAAGAAAAAAAATAATCTTTTCCATAAAAAATAAAACTAATCATGACTATTTCCTATGCCTTAGGAAATAAGATTTATACAATTTTGGTGCACCCTAAATAAATATCTGTAAACTAGAAATACTAAATTGGCAGCAAATATTATTTATTTTGCTATTGGATAAAGAATGCACGAAGTTATCTTAAACTGGAAATAGAATAGACCAAATCCTGTGGACTGAATTTGGGATTTTTTTTTCAAAAAAAAAAAAGAGTGAAAAAGAGAAAAATATCACCAAAGTGTCAAATAGATTGCAATAGTCTAACAACAACCGAGGCCCAAGATTAGAAAGGATGATATCGTGTATTGGACCATTGGACGTAAGAACTAGGCCCATTTAGGATTGTACCTTTCTCATCCTATAAACTACTGACGTTTCCTTTTTTTTTTTTCGCTTTCTCAATTTAAAACATTCTTGATGTAATTTTGTAGCTACCGAGATCACGGAGGTATTTTGGAAAATTTCGGTTCCAAAGTAGTAAGAAATATATTTTTGTTAATATTCCCCTGTAAAACAATACGTAAATGAAATTATGAAAGTTGATATAATATATTAATGAGCCCAACAAAATTTTGAACATTCTTATTTATTCACATGATTATATCTTCATGTGTTGCAAATTAGTAAATACTCACAAGAAGACTAGCTAATTAAGTGAAACCTACGATCACCGAATAGTAGACATGAAAGCTTAGAGAATTGTAATAAATTATTTGTAGGATAGTATATGTATTAATTTCACTAACTTTGCCATGAAATATTTCTAGGATAATATATATGTGTGAGGTTACCAAGTCTACAGCATATGTATGAATTCTGGAGTACCTTTGTCATGCTATGATTATTATTTGAGACAAAATACAACATTTGCGATAATATATATGTGTGAAACTAACTTTTGTGTAAATTACACTAAACCCCCCCATCAACAGAGAATTCTTCATCCATAGAGACAAAACCTGGCTAAGATTTTTTACTCCCGCTGAAACCGTACTAGATTGAGGCACGTGCAGTGCCACGAGACTACTGAACTTCTGAGGTTATCGCCATTGATTTTGAGCTTAACTGCAGGTAAAATACCCTATAATTTCACCAACTTTGCGGAGATATACCCCCACTCGTATAATTTGCTGAATCTGTTAGAATATAAAAATGCAATCCTAAACTCTTATCATAACTTCGGAATTTCAGTGTAATAATCAGATGGACTAATTCAATATGGAGCAATATATAGGTTCAAATCCCACCGGACACGAACTTTAAAGCAGATTTTCCAAAAGTTGATACCGTTGCGTGAGCTCCGGTTTCAGCGCCTCGTGAAAGAGAGGGTCAACCTACGGGGGTTATTTTTAGTCTAACGGGCAGGCAGAGAGACTCATTTAAGAGAATCAATATCCGGTCGGTAACTGAAAGCATGTATCATTTGTTTTCAGATGAATCATATGGTTAATTTCTGTTTTTATTCCCAGATAGAACCCTTGAATTATTGTTATTCACATTTTGGATGATTTTTCGTCCAAAATGGCTGTTTCGTCCATCATCGGTCCTCGCTTTTCCGGTGATGTTTCCGGCGGTGACAAGGGGCCTCGGCGCGCTTCTGCCCACAATGCATGCTATGGACGTATTTGGACGTCTTCATGGAGCTGCAGCTCTTCGTGTGCAAGTCTTAATTTGGTCCACTGCTAAAAAATAAGGTATCCTAGACGGAAAATTCCGTCTAGGATACTCAGAATTCCGTCTAGAATGTGTATTCTAGACGGAAAAAAATCCGTCTAGAATATTCCGTCTAGAATACGTGATTTTCTACTAGTGGTCCCTACTCGGGCCGCGCAGCCCGTCTATGGTTCGCGAGGCCCGGCCCTTCCTCCAGGTAGATGTGGCCTTCTTGTTGCCCGGCAACCGCATGCCTACTATCCGTCTGCATTTGTTTGATATTAATCAAGGGGCTGCTTGGTTTGCTTCAAAAAATAAGTCGCAGCAAATGTTGCAACAACAAATATTCATTAGTTTGTTTTTTCAGTGTCTACGATTATATGGTCTACTTGAGTGTGGGTGATTTTTTTATTTGGAATTTAAAAGTTTTTTTACCTTTCAAAATGCTTTTCTATGTTGCTTTCTTGTTCTAATTTATGGGGGTTATCTGCAAGATATTGAAAATTATTGGAAGTTTTTTGCAAACATAGAAGTTATTGGAGGTTTAGTATGATTTTGGAAGTTCATAGCGGTTTTTTGTAAAACACTGAAAGTTTATGTGGAATTAGGGTAATTTACCATTAAAGCTACTTGGCAGACACAAGCTGGTATGCGTTCTTAATCACATTTAATATCATTTGGTACTTAAATGTAAATAAGAAAAATACATCAAATCTATATTATTTAGAAAAGAGGACTGCTATCAAACCTTTTGATTACCTCTTTTAACCTTTAAATTGAGAATTCACAATTATGTCCATGATCACATGATTAAATGCTAATTCCTGTTAAATAACTCCTTTGTTTTTTTATTTAATTAATTTTGATACTTTCTACTTAACTCATATTATCAGTTAAATTTTTAAACGCTAATCTATACTACTTCTAAAAGAGAAAACAATTGTCAAATAATTTGCATGCCCATTTTGCCCCTTTCAACTTACTTAATTATAATTTTATCCTATATTCCTATCCTATTCATTCAATGCTTAGAATTATTAACATTTTTAATTGTTATTACTGGTTTAATTAATTAATTAAAATGCAAATCTTAAATAGCTATTACCTGGCCTATCCTATTTCATCTGCCTCTTCATCTCCCTCTTTTAACCGTTCTCAACTCCGCCGCTCCACCCTCCCCCCTTCCCTCTTCATCTCTGATTCTTACGTTTCTCATCACTCTCTTTCTCTCTCCTCCGCTCCAAGCCCCGCTTCTCCCTTCAATCTCGCCCTCTCCCTTCTAGAACCCGTGCCGCTCCCGAGGCCGTCAAGGCCCAAACCCTAGAACCGCCAACTGGAACCCTAGACGCTGGCTTCCAGGTTCGTTACTTTCTTTGCTTTTTCATTTAGCCCGCTTTTGTTTCTTGACATTGCTTGATGGCGATTTTGGGATTTCGTTTGTAGGGATCTGATGAGGCTTCCCTTCTCTCCGCTGGCACCGATGCGGAAAAGGTATTACTTTTATTGCCTAAATTTTTATGTAGTGAATTGGCCATAGGATTGAGATATTGGCTATCAAAAGTTTATTTTTTGATTCAGTTAAATTGAGTGAAAATGTGCTTTTTGTGACGATGTGCCTCGTGAATTGAAGGATTTCCTATGGTTTTTTTTGGGAGTCATCCTGTAAAGTTGAATAAACTTTGAGCCCCTCCTTCTGCGTCTGCTTGTTATTTTATGATATATTTTTGCAGTAACAAGGGATTACAAGGATTTACGTATTATTGGCCAAGGAATGTCATGCAACACCAAATATGTGGTAGTAACAAGGGATTACAAGGATTTACGTATTATTGGCCAAGGAATGTCATGCAACACCAAATATGTGGTATATGCAATGAGATATATACATTTTAACTGATTATAAACTTGTGTATTCTATGAATGCATTGTACTTTACATCTAATGTCACTTAAGGGGATGGGATTATATGTTTATAAATAGTTGTGGGTGGACTTGGTAACAGAGATGCCCCCTTCTAAGATAAAAGGATATTCAACATAAGGGTAATTAACAACCAATTTTTATAAAAAAATTTGATGCCTCTGGATTGTAAAATCTAGCTTAAGAGTTAGAAGGTGCATAAGGATAAACATTTCCGTTGTTTTATGAACGATATACTGTAATGTCCCATCTATGTGACACTCTTGCGGATACTAGATAACAGGGAGGAAATAACATCTTCATCTCTCTCAATTAATCGTTCTAACCTCTGTCGCTTCACCCCGCCCCTGGCTTTTCATCTCAGATTCTTCTGTTTCTCAACCAATGAAGCTCCCTCATTTAACTG